GGGGGGGGGGGGGTCCTCAGTAAACAATATGCAAGTTTGATTTCCCAATAACTATCCTCAAAACCAGCTTTATGGAAAATAATCGGCAGTCAAGCTATGGAAAATCTCATTACTTTTAAAAAGAAAAGGCAATTATCAGGGAAGCGTTATGATGAAAATGAGTGTTGAGTGACCAGATCTAATAACCAAATCAGCATCTAGGGGCGAGTGCCCAATTTAGAATAGAATTTTGAATACTTAATGGGAGTGATATTCTGCCGAAACTGATGAAATTTGCTATTGCAGTGGCGAGGCCTCCGCTGGGCTGTCTCGCCTTGTCTCACATTAATTTTCGTGGACACGCACGACGAGACGCACGCCTGATTAGTCTGTCTAAATCTCATTTTTCGACGAGTTTTTCGTCTGGCGTTCCCTGATTCTGTTCTACTGCTACAATTTGGGGGGAAAACGTGAACCCACAACACACCCCGACCCATGCACTGCCACTACAGGGTGGGCTGCGCTGCGGGCTCCGCTTCCGAATGACACTTTCTTCGGAATCACATTAAAACATCCTCCTCTACTCTGCCCATTTTTATTTAATTTTCTTTTCTCAAATATTTCTATGGGTATAAGGGGTTCAAAATGCCCAGAACTATTAGGACCCTCGTGCCTTAAAGCTACATACAACAATGGTTTGTATATGCACTTGTATAGTTTCTCTTTATTTTCTGATTTAATTCTAATTCCTATTTTAAAATACTCAGCTGCCGCTTGAATTTCTACTGGTGTTGCCATCGCAGCTGTCTCACTATGCAGTTTATAGTAATCATCTTTATTCTGATTTGGCAGTGAACCTTTAAACCTATGCCAATGCTCTTTGACATATCTGTACACTAACAGCCTAATTAATTCACTATTCTCTGAATTTCCATACAAGACTTCTCCTAAACTATGATAAAAACTACTCACATCTCGCGGAACTCGCTTGGACTGATAATTATATTTATCTAGTGGGGTACGCCTAAAGTAACCGTTTTCCATAGCTATCCGAGCAAAATAACTCCGATTTACTTCCGAAAATGGGAAAGCCTTTCACACTCAAAAGCGTAATGTCCATTTTCTCCACAGACTTTACACTTTCCTTCCCGTCTATCCCCTGAGTAACTCCTACTCTTCTGGTGGTAGTTCCTTTGAGAACCATCCCGATAGACCCGCATCTCGCCAGTCTCCGGGCCAGATTGGTCCCAATCCTCAGAGTTTTCTCTCCTAAATTCATCCTCTGATCGATAGTTCGATCGACGCCTTCCTGCCCTATAGTAGTTCCTATCCCAGTTATCTCTCCAGTTATCACGACCATGACCACGATTATAGCCGTTGTCGCGACCCCTATTGTTCTTCTGTTGAACAAGCATGCTGAATCCATCAGCGATAGTAGAGATAGCCATCTGCATTTGACTCAATTTATTCTCCAAATCTGACATTTCATTCTGAACAGCAAGAACTTTACTCTCTTTTTCATTTGAGGCTAATTTCGAATCAATATATTTCTTAAGTCCCTTTATCTCTTTTTGAACATTATTTTCAGATACATTTCTACTTTCAATCAAGGCAAGATTTCCTTTGTATATACAAAGGTTTTCTAGCAGTTCCTCTACTGTAGCACAATTGGAGCATGCCACCAGTTTTGCGTCCTCCTTTGGCATTAGAGTAAGCAATAACTGAACTACTTCCTTTTCCGAAATAGTCGGGTCTGTTTTAGCAAGCTCATGAACCCTAACTACGAAGGACTGTACACTCTCCGTTGGTTTTATCCGCATGTCAGCTATTTTAAACCGAACCGACTGGATGATGCTATTGGGTTCTGCCACCCGCACAAATGCCGCAGAATAATCCTTAAATGTTTTCCCTTTGAGTGAATCATGCAAACTGGTCCATTCTTTTGGTAAAAACTG